AAGTCTTAATGGTGAATTCATCAAGAGTGACCCTGCCCATTGTTGAGAATCTAGCCGGATGGTTCTCTTCAATTTTTACTGGAATATAGGAATGGGCGGGAATGGGATCTTTATTATTGATAATTTGTTTTGTAGCTTTATTTAGTTTATGGGGTATTTGTAAATCATGGAGACAACAGAGAACTACGCAAAGGGTCATGATACAAGTCATGCTTGCATTACAAAAACAGTCTTCACCTGCTGTATGGCTCAGTATGCTTGACAAGCAGTAAACGCCACAAGCTGATAGACCCAGACAGCCACTGTATCCAGAAAATGAGCAATATTGGTCTGCGCCAGTGACGAATGTAGCCTGGCTATACCGATCCCCTGGACGATGGATTGCATATCTGAGGGATTAAGTGAATGGATAGGCAAGTCCGGGCACATTTAACAGGCAAAGGCCATGGCCCCCTGTGATATTCTTGTGGCAATCCTTGCTGCACCCCTCTTCACATGTCAGCTCGCCTCCAGGAAGCCTACATGGGACTCTTAAGTGCCAGTTCTGGGTCCAGGCCAGCAGGTAGGCTAGCCTGAGTCCCAGCTCCAGCCTCTGGGCACCAGTGTTTCCTGGAGATTCCTCTCTGCTCAGAGCTGCCTTCAATTTGTAGCAGGAGTCAGGACCTTGGGCCCCTGGCCCCACATTCTTTCCTGGTTTGTTGTATAGCTGGTTGGCCTCCCACTCCTCTGAGCAGCAGTTTCTGGCTGGCTAAGGGGTTCCATGGACTTTAAGGGCTCTCGCCATCTTGCATTTCTCCTGGAAGCCCCAGTGTGAGCACTGGATGGGCAGAAGACGCCTTGGGGAGCAGGGCCCACGGCAGGCCCCCTCCCTGGTCTCCCACCTTAGCAGGAGCAGAATGAGTGCAGGAAGCAGGAGAGGGCACTCCTGGTGCCCAGGTACTCAGCTCTGCTCTGCTCCAGGAGAAAGGACTCGGTTGCAAAGCTGCCCTGGAGGGCCATTACTGTTCCTCTCACTAAGTGAACTGTGATGACAAGGATGAGGTCTATTTATGTGCCCTTGCCAGCTCCAGGCTGCCCCATTCTCTACAGGGCCCTTCTTATCCCCTCCTGAGCTGAAGTCAAGGTTTTACAGCTACAGGGCCCCCAAGCCCACCTCTGCCTCAGGTCTGTGCTAGTCCTGTCTGCAGGGTCTGAAGGAATACAATCAAGCCCTGACCTGCCCCTCTTTGTGGTCTGTCACCTCTCCCACCTGTGGGGAAAGCAGGCTCATGTCTGGAACAGGTGAGTGTAGCCTAGGCAAAGCCTTCTTACAAGTCCACCTGGGGCTCATTGCTCTTTCTTTAGTGCTCAGCACGGGACGTGGGGGGCTAAGCCCTAGTAGTGGGCTCCCAGGTTCCTGGCAATAGCTCCTTTTTCAGGTCTTAGGTTTCTCAGTCCCCCAACTCCCATTGCGCTGTCTCTTCCTCTGCCCTGGGTGAGCTCAGCGCCTGGCTCTCTGCTGCCTCCCACGAGCACTGAGCAGATTCAGCGACAGCACCCACTGCCACTAGACCACCTGGTCTCCAAATCTTGGCACCTAGGTCACAACCCCAGCATCCTAGAAATCACCTCGAAAAAGCCACAGATGGGCTTTTGTGTGATCCCTACAATTTGGCAGATAAACCCAGGTGAAGGGACGGGTGGCTGAGGGGAACCACCTCTCTGTTCTCATCCTGAATCCTGCTTGGAAAGGGGAACTTGTCTTTTGTGCCCTCCTAGTTCTGCTTGGCTTCTTGCTCCTGCAGAGAAGGATGGGAGGAGAGGAACCGTGTTCCAGTATCTAGCTAGCAGTCCAGAAACATCCCTGAATCCTGCAGGAACAGGGGCAGATTCTCCCAACCAGACAGGACAGGGTCCCAACTGCAGATATCCCTGGGTTGTTGAGCTCGTGGCCTCCAGCAGGGAATGAACGCCCTTGTCCCGCAGTGTACTGTGTCTGTATCTTGGATCTCTGCTTGTTTCTTAGGCCAGAGGTACTCAGATGCTGTGGTACCAGGGAGAAGACCATTGGAAAGTGGGCAGATGTAAAATGATACTCCTTAGATTGGATACAATAGGGAGTGGAGGGGACTGAGACAAGCAAAGAGCCCTTTTAGCTTTACATTACTCCTTTGTGCCCTGCAGTCTCTGCCTGTGGACAAACCTTCCCGTTTGCAGGGCTTCTGCAGTTCAGAATCTATACAAATCTAGCCGTGGTCCTAATCCTAAAGAACATGAGCAGCTACACAGCTTCATGCTGCTGAAACTTCCAGTTCTTCAAGCTGAATGTTGGGATGACTCCAGAAAGAAAAAAAACCCCTGGTTTTAAAACATTACAGGTGGACACAGATTTAACATATCTTATGGGCCATCTATAACCAAAATGGATGTCAGAAGAGACTCTGAAGATTGCACTGGAGCATAGAGAAGCCAAAGCACAAGGAAGAATTCAAGATACTAAAGAGCTGAACAGAAGATTCCAAAAGGCAGCTCAGAAT